TAAAAAAACCATTTACTAGAAGAAAACAACCATAACTATATTTTTAATTGCAATATCCTATACAATCAAAATACTATTTTATTTTAGAAAATGAATTAATGTATACCTACATTTTTTTTTTTGTGTACGAAGAGTTGGCTTTGCTTTACTTGGCCCTCGTGTACCTTGGTCTAATGTTTATTTCTTCCTTAATAATTGATAACGAATTAATTTGTGGAAGAAATTATATTCACTAGTTCCATATTCTCACAGTCAGAACAATGAAAACACTTATGAATTTATAATAAAATTTCTCCTACCAAAATAACAATTTTTTAATTTTCTTTTCAACATTTAAATTTTTTCATAGAAGTTCTTAAGGTTATTTTACGTTATATATTATTTAGAATTTAATGGTAAATTGAAAACCATATTGGTATTTAACGTGGATAACATGCAGTCCACAGCTTTACGGTAAATAAAAGTGCTTACAAAGTATGCCTAGAAGTTATGCATTGCAGGATTCTCTTCTAACTTGCACAGAAAATAACTTATTAACTTTTCAAACTTTTTTTCAACCTATTCATTAAGTAAGACACGAAGGGTTTTATAAATGTAAACTTTTGTAGTTAGTGAACCATAAATTTTTTTTCAATGTTGTGCCAGCTGTGGTCAATACGCCATTTACATAAAAAATAGAGTTTAAAAAAAATAATGAAATGTCTTTAAATAATGATAAATGGTCCCATAATAAATATTTTAATATTATATTTGATAAGTACCTGGTGCTTAAAATAGTGTGTAGTGCGCCTCCACATCCGTAATCTCCGACACCAGAATTGAGGCATTAGTTGGCACGTCTTAAAGCAAGAACTTAGATATAAAGGCATGGTTTTAGGTCTATGAACATAACTTAAAAAACTCCGCTTCTTATAATGGCCTGAAATTAGTCGTACAATTAAACTGCCACGGGCTGTGCTGCGATCGGTATGGTTGCTACTTAAAGCCACGTAGTAGGTATAGGGATTATTCATGTTTTTAGATATCAATTTACCTTCGAGTTTTCATCAAGACATTTAAATAATAAATTTGATTTAAATGGATTACGATACGTACCTATAATCGGTTTAATATTAAGCGTTCGAGAAGCTACTCGTGTGTTACACGAATACCTATCAATGTCAGACTCAGACTTCGGTACGAGTCGGTACTCGGTATAAATTTAGGTTCTACGCGTTTTTAAATTTTTTTTGAAACATGTATTTCAATGATTTTATATATATAATATATTTTATATTTCAATGGTAAAGCTTGGTCCTCTAAATTTTAGTAAAATATGCATTAATACTTTTAACTGAAATACCTAATTTACAAGAGCTGAAAATTTTTTCCTTTAACTACCTTTAAATAATTAAATCGGTAATCTAAAATGCTCAAAAAAAAAAAACAATCTAAAAAATTGTTGGCAAACATAGACATGGTACAATTTTATTTTATAATATCTATTAATAATAATTTACCTACATAACCTACCTACTTACATAATTTTTTTTCTTTTAAACTTTTTGGTGATAAATATAGGCCCCAAAAATCAATGGGCCCCGGGATCGTGCCCCCCCCTTAATTTGGACTTATAGCCCATTTGTAAAGTTATATTTTTACATTTTTAAGCATGTACACAATTGACTTACCGATTTTTTCTTACTGAAAATCTTGCATGTTCTTCAGAAGTTCAGACTTTGGATAATTTTTTGATTGTGCTGTGACGACTGACGGCTATTACGATTTCTAAAGTTACTTTTACTTATCGTAGTACAATTCACAAATTACAAACCAACCAATTATAAACAAACTGTAAATTTAAAATCAACAACCTTAACGAGTTTGCGTAAAAGTGTTTATAATGCAATTTAATAGTGGTTAAACGTTAAGTAAGCTAGTATTCCTAAAATTACAATAAAACAACTAAAATTATTATTCTTCGTTTAAATATCTAATTTTATCTCAATTTGAACTTAAAATATCTATAAAAGAAACTGTGTCTTATAATTTTTAGATTTTTGGTTATATAGTATGAACTACTTATGAGAAACCTTGTATTCAACTTTCAATAATTTTAACTCAATGAAAAATGTTAATTGATATTTATAGAAAAGAAAAACTAAAAAAATTGAAAATTGAAAATATCTATAAATTGCTTAAGACAAGTTAAACAATTTTGATTTTATTTAAAAAGATATTTTAGTGGCCTACATTAAGAAATATGCATATTTATAAGTTCAGTCATTTAATACATAACAATCATACCAAAGATATATACTAAAATTTAAAATGCACATTTTTATGATATATTATCTAATTTTTAAACATTTTTCACAGAAAATTTGATTCTTTCAAACAACTATTTTCAACACGGAACAATTTTACAAATTGCAATATATTGCCTGAATCGGATTGTAAGTAATTTGTATTTATATATTTATATCATGTATTATACAACTTTTGGCTGATTTTTTTTTTTTTTAGGTGTGCTATTGCATTATCCGGAGCCAATTAACCATCGACACTTTAATTTATTAAAATTTCAAGACCCAAGGTATACATTTAATAATTGGTTTTATGTTTATATAATGATAATTTGTTTAAAGGAAACATTTATTTTAGTCAATGTAAATACTCTTCTAGTTTATATTCATAATTTGTAAGCTATAAAAGTCTGTTAGCATTTCAGTACCATCATTTAGATTTTAGACAATAGGACATTTGGCTGATAAAAATAGTGCATAAAAAGTTTGAAATAATAATATGGGCTCTAGAACAATGAATAATTAATAATTGTAATTTAAGTTCATGTACAACTAATATAAATATAATGGTTAATACAAAATTAAAATATATATTCCAGATCTTTCTGAGTATTAATAAATTGAGAACATTATTGCGAAATATTATATTTAGCTTTTTCAAATGAATAAAAATACATAGGTTGATATTACCTACCTCCATATCGAGTTAAACATTTCATATAAAAAAAAACTAATTTTTATAATTTAAAACTTACAATAGACATGTTGTGTGTTAATATTGTTGAAGTGTGGATTTTTCAATGGATTTGTAATTGTGTACACTATATATGAGTATAAATACTAGTTAATTAAAAAAAAATCTAGGAAGTAGCATTGATAAGTTTAAAAAATCAATATTTTGTTGAAACCTATTTTTATTTTTTGATATATTATATATTAGTATTTGTTAATTTCTCTTATTAAAATATTTTTTAACAATGTTTAACAAAAAATATTTTTGGTTGACATCCATAATCTTTTTTTAAAACGTGATATATATAAAAAAAAATTAAAAAAAAAATGAATAAACATTTCTTTTGCCTATAAAGAGCTGAAGAAGTGTCCAAATATTTTGAAAATGTTATTATGTATGGACAATTGACTGGCAAAGATTTCGATAAAAATTAAAGTATCTACAATTATAAGTTTTGTGTTATACCAAGAAAACTGAATCCGTTATTGCCTAAAAATCTGTTTTCCTTAATAACTTTTTCCTGATTGAAATATCTTGTTGAGTTAATATAATTTATATTAGCTAGAGCATCAAACATGTAATATAAAAACATTAAGTTACATGAATCTATGGTAAAAAGTTACAACCCACGTTGAAACCAGTTATATTTTAATGTCATGTCACTTGAAAATTATGCAATCTTGTTATAAGTTAGAAATGTAAGATATAACCAAGTCACTAAATTTAAAATGTGTAACTATTACTAGGTAACTATTGCAGGGGGTCTATTTTGTATTCCGTAAGAACCAACTAGAAACTAATAATTTTATCAAGTATAAAACAAGTACAATTAAATTGTGTCTAATAATTATATTTTATGATTTCAGTTTTGTCGACAAGTATGGCCGAAGAAAGAAAGTGTCTGTTAAATGAGAATGTGGTGAATGATTATCTAACTTTGATAAAAAAAGATAATCCGAGTGTACATTCATTTGATACCTTTTTTTATGCGCGGTATTCAAAATATAAATACGAAGGCGTAAAGTGTTGGACAAAAAATGTAAACATTTTTTCCAAAAGGAAAGTCTTTTCCGATCAACATTGTACAAGGCAAATTTCCTCACTGCATATTAGTGGTGGCAGACATGGTGAAAAAGGAACTCGTTTATTATGACAGCCTTCAAGGTAATTACTATTATGATGGTCATTTTGCGATAATGGAATACTTAGGGTTCGAACATGAACAAAAACTGGGTAAATCCTTCCCGAAAGATGACTGGAAGTTGTCAAAAGGTAGTAACCCCGTTCAGAACAACTGGAAGGACTGTGGGGTGTTTGTTTGCACATTCGCCGAATATTTATCTAGAGATGCAGAGTTCAATTTCACTCAGCGGCATATGTTATCATTTAGAGAAATGATAGCTCTTGAACTTACGATAAATCAACTCTTTATATAAATGGGGCCAGTAAATCTATTGATGAAGAAATACATCATATAACTTATAATTATTTAATTAAAAAATTCCCTAATGTAACTTTTGGTTAGTTAAATGTATAGTGAAGTAGGCGCTAATAACAATACATTTTTAAATAAATAATTCGATGGTGCTCGGGAAAAACTTGCTAAGTCTAAAATTTGGAATTTGGAATATTCAAAAATAAAAAGTCAATTACAAAAAAGAAATAAGATAACCTTTATTTTCATTCATAACATTGACTAATGTTTTCTATAACCTTTAACAAACAACAAATTATATTAAAACAGAATAAAAAATTATAATTAATACAACAAAATAATTTATTTGACTTAATTAGGCAGACTTAGCCTATATTGCACAAAATATTTTTTGACTTAGATAGTTATTACCTATTATTATAGAAAAAAATGTATAAATATACATTACATAGTTTTTTAGTAAATTATAAACAAAAACAAAATAAACTTAATAATAAAACTTTTAATTCTTATACATAAATGGTTAAAATTCTTTCAGTCCATTGCTTTAAGAGTTTTCTTCCTCTGTATCAGTCTCATTGTTTGGGTATGTTTCTTTTAGTGTAGCATCAGTTGGTAAATTTTTGTAAAAGTCATGAAAAACATTTGGTATCATTGGAAGTAAGTCCAAAAGATCTTTTTTCTTCTTCTCTGCAATCGGAACAGGTCTATTATAACACAATGGTGGTGTAAGTTGATAATGGCTTCTTCCTTTTGAGCAGAGTGATAGTGATTTGAATGGTGCATCTATATCTAATGTTTCCTTATAGTATAAAATTCCTAGTTCAGTTTTTTTAAATCTTAACCATTTTACATTTTTCCATACAAATTTTTCACCATTACTATTTTTTTTTTTCATCTGTAGTTGATTTTTAAGCAATTCTGAGTAGTTAAGAAAATCACTATGCATCATGGGGGTTACAATGAATGGATTTTTTTTTCCTGTCTGTCTGACTAGTTGCATCCAATCGTGTGGATGGTATATTATGGTCTTACTTGTTTTTTTTTTTTTTTCAATTAGTGCATGGTCAGAATCACATTCCATATGAGTGTGACCTGCTAATAGAAACTTATGATCTATAACTTCTAGTATATTATGATATCTTATAACTGACATAAACATAGCAACCATGTGGGAATTTTTATTTTGCCCCCCACAGGTATCTGAGTAAAGTGTTACATGTTTGGTAGGCAATCCAATTGAGTACAGATGTTTAGCAACACAAGAAGCTATCTGGTTAGCACCCCTTCCTCCATCGACCTCAGACCACATAAAACAATAAGCTTGATTGTCTGAACAATCATGAACGGTCAGGTTGTACGTCCACAACTGACGTTTATAGAAAACAACATTTGTTTCAAGATGTGGGGTAGGAAGGCATTGTTGTAAATCAAATGTCAGTACTTTTTTTTCTTTTTTTTCATCAGTTTTAGCTTCTTCTTATCTTCTGCTTTTGAAGTATATCCCATGTCAGCTTGTTCTAAATGATCCCTAAACGCTATCTGCAAATTTTCTTTTTCATCTCCATCTGCCAAACTTATGCGCATATGGAAAGTATCACATTTATTACAAGTGTCCTTTTTTGGTTTTTTTATAGACAGGTTTAAATCATGGAAAATGGCTTCATATTTTGGACGGCCGATTGGTGTATCTGTTGTTTGTTTATACTGTTCATATAAACTTGACAATGTAAAATGTGATGGAAGGTATCTTTTGCTAGTATCACGCCTAGAATAGTGACTTTCATATGAAGGAATACTTAGTATATGATCCTTAGCATTTTTTAAATCTTGCTCAGACAGCTTGTTGTGTGGTTCTCTTTTACCTCTCAAATCATTTTGAGGTATACCTGATTTTGATGAAATGCACTTTGCCACTACTGTATTGAGAAACCCTTTTGTTTCACCCAAAGTACTTAAGAAACAAGAACAGCAAATTTTTTTCTTTTCTCCATTAATACGCAAGAAGTACTCTCTAGAAAATGTTCTATTTCTTTGCTTTTCAGAAATATCCACTTTTTTTCTTTCAGTCATTTTTTGTTTTAGATTTATAAGGGCCATTACATAAGAAACTCTCTTTGCATAATCTCCCATACTCCAATATTCTTCAAAAATAATTTTTCTATCATCATCCTTAAACAGTTCATTACACTTTCTTCTACATGAACCCAACTGTTTTATTTTTCTTGCCATTATCACCTTTCCTTTTCCCGTTTTGTACTCTTCTCCTTTATTACGTTTATTACATCTATCAGTCCTTACTTGTCTGGATTGTCCTTTTACACTGACTCTAATTTTCCTTTTTTTTTTTTACCAGCATTACCATCAACAGTTGATGAATCAGTTGCAAAAGGAGAATTATTATTTCCATCCATATTGGCTAAATAATTACTATTGTCTTCCTGTAAAAAAAAAATATTGTTTTACTTAATAATAATATTTATGATATATGACAAAAAATTATTAATAGTTTATGTGTTTGTGGGTAATGTATTGTTACAATGGTAACTGACATGTATGTACCTACACTATACAAGTTAGTTTATCTCTGCAATGTACAATAGTTACAAATATTAAAAATTAAATTCTTAGTTTAAATTGATAATTTACTCAACCCAAAAGTTATTAAATAAATTAAAAAATATCTATTATATTGTATTGTCCTAAGTGTACTTACAATGTTTGATGCAACACTGGTAGAACTCTTTGATCGAGCAAATGGTGGTCTATATGAGTCACCAGAGTCGTTATTGCTCTCAACTGATGTATTTTCTTCATCTAAACATGTATTTTAATACATAAATAAACTACAACATTTAGGAAAAAGACAGTGATCTTGCATTATCACATTTGCTTACCTGAGTTGTTTTTGTTGTTATCTGAATAACACATTGCAATAAGTTTGGCTGTTCTGGATTTAAACATTATAACTATATTGTATACGATATTTTACCAAAATAATAAATACAATCATGTACGAGTTCAGTAATAATAGTTTTATCGTTATAACGTAAGAAATTAGTATAATGTTTGTATGTTCGTCTACTGCCTACCAATAACACTAATAAGATAATTGAAATATTTGTAAAAATATTATGTACAATCATAATATTTTTATGATTGATAAATATGGCTATGATAAGATTATATTAATATTTTAATACATATATTATTGATTATTGATAGTCACAGATAGAGATCCTAGATAATAAAGGCTCTCTAGTCAGAGATGTTACAAAAATGGGGAATAGTTGTTTTATTAAATTATGAGTAATATTCACTATGTCTACAAGGAATTATGTCTACACACCGCCAAGTCACTTAGCCACTTTATCACATATCATTATTTTGGTGTAAAGTTGTCTAAGTTGACATAGGCCAAATTTCGCAATGATAATAGTATGTACAAAATCGTCTAAGTCATATAACTGGTTTTTCTCAAACACAAAATTAATTTTGTGAAATGTTCTATTTTTCATAAGTGTATAACAACTGGTAAAATCGGTGTATGACTTAGACCGTTTTACCCAAAACACCGTCTGATTCTTCTGTATCTAGATATGACATAACCTAATTTTCGCAAATTTTAGACTTAGCCAGTTTTTCCCGAGCACCATCGAATTGTGAAAAAACTTTTTTACTTCATGATATATTTTTTTTTGGAATTTAAAACTTGTTAAAATATATAACTTTATCTAAATATGTATATTTTGTTTTTGTATTACTATTTGTGGTTCTTATTTTGATGTATTTATTTACTTGAAAAAGTTTGAGAATTTCAATAATTTTCAAAATATATGGATGTGTTGTTGATAACAATTTTGTGTATGATGGGTGTAAGAATTCACCTATTGCATTCGTAGGAATTAATGTATGTCATTTTTAACTTTATACTTATGTAGGAACTTACTATTCACCTCTATTATAGTGTCGTATTGGGTGATGGGCCATAATAATTAATAATTATTATTTAATGATTGGAATAAGGAGTAATGAGTCGTATAATATATATTGGTGTGGTTATCAACACTTACAGTATGATCATGACTTAACGCTAAATAACTCAGTTGGATGACTTAGAAACCAATTCGTGGTTTTTTTTTTTTAATGCATAAAGGACTAAATAATATTATAATGATTTTTGAATTGCAACCACCCAAATTATTAATTCGATTTAATTATAACATAATTATTATTATTATTATTATTTTTTTTAAATAATGATTATTGCATACATAAAGTTTTTTGTATCTCAATAATTGACCGATTTTGAGCTCGAGTTAATGTTTCGTCAAATCATAAATACGTTCTCATGCACAAATCAAGGCTATTTAACTCACTCTCAACCCTTCAATTTCTAAGACAGGAAAAAACCTTATATATCCATTGTCAGTTGTCCCTTGAATGTTACGAGCTTTCGTTACCTACAATTATATACAGGGTGTTCCAAATTTCATGTGACAGCAGATTTCAGCATGATCTACTCAAATTAGGAAAAAATGACCTATGTGAAAACTTATTTGAATCACATACTCAAAACTAATATGATATTAATTTTTTTTTTTATTAGTTAAAAAGGGGAGATTTTAGGGGTAACTTTTAAAATTCAAATGGGAATCTATATTTTTGAAATATGATTCCTACAGGATTTTTTTTTTAATGAATTTTGATGTATCATTCATAATTATTGGTTGATAATTAAAGAAGCTATTTACATTCGAATTTTGTATTTAATTTGTAAAAATGCCATCAATGAATAATAATAATAATATACTTTGTGCTTCTGTTTTACGCCGATGCATTGTTGTACCTACAACCTTTATAATCTGTACGCTATCTAACTACCAATTTACTAGTAATAAAACGTGTATTTGTTATCTTAATTTAATTTTATATTACATAGGTCAAGCCACATGATTCTATTGATAATAAAAAAAAAAAAAACAAGGCATTAGATAATAATATACCGTCTACATATGTATAATGTATATTGGATATTGTTTTATTTATAATCAATGCTATGGAAGGGGTTTGTGTCCTCAATAATTTTACATAATATTTATTATTAATAATATAAAATTAAAAATAAATATCATTCAGTTGACAAATAGGCAATAGCTAATTATACCAAATTGTTGTATAAATGTTATTATACTGCATACAATTATTTAAAATGTATACAAATAGGTTAGGTACCTGTATCTGTATTTTTGACTAATGTAGGTGCCTATTCATATTTTATAAATTTAAATAATAAATAATCACCAAGGCTAGGAACTTAAAAATATGCAGTAAAAATTTGGAAAATATGCAATTTATTGAATAAAATACATTTTACATACAAAATTTAAAAATTTAAATTAGGTAGGTGTCTGAAAAAAAATTAGAAGAATTTAAAAAAAAAATTAACACCGCACGCTTATGTATTTAATTACCTACGATTATACAATTTTTTTATCTCATGGTACAAAATATTAATCCAGTGGTAAATTTGAATAAAAATAAATACGGCCCGGTCAGCGATTACTATTAAAAGTTCTCAGTAGTAGATATAAAGATTATAATATTATTTTTGGGAGCAATAGTAATAGCCGTTGATGAATTAATTTATTTTGTCAAACAATATAAAAGTATAAATTTCTAAAAAAAAAAATTTTTCACGTTAATGCTATGATATCATATGCATATAATTAATGTTCTTATACCTAAAATATGCGAATTTGTACAAAAAATCACGAAATATTCAAAATTATGCAACAAATATTTTGGTATTTGTAATATACTTACTATGGATCAAATTTGTATCGAATCAGATTTTCAATATGCACTTTCTAAACAAATATGCAAATGCTTAAAGTTCCAAGCCTTGGTAAGACTAATTACATACTTACATACCTATACTTTCATATTATGTTTGAATCAACTTAATATTAAATATGTATATCATTTCTAAACGCTGCAAAATGACAACATTGATTTCAAAAACTTGTATGATTAAACCTCGCGTTCAACATAATGTTGAATGATGCATATAAAATCAAACAGATTTTGAAAGAACATCACCTTTTCACAACATTAAGATATGATCAATCTAATATTAAATTATAATAACTAGAGCTTGGATGTTGTTACATTAATTTTATGAAAATTAATTATTCATTTACTAAAGACTAAAGGTTATGGCTAGAAGAGAGGTAAGAATAGGCTAGAGACTTAAAAGCTTTAAACACAAACATATACGCATAAAAATATGAGCAAATATGTATACTCTAGAAGTCTAGAACAAGACAATTTTGACTGAATTTATTAAAAATGTATTTAATTATTATTAATGTATAATCAATTTTTCCTTTTTTTTTTAAATAATTGTACCTATTGCTCCAATGGCTTAAGCAAAAAAAAAAATATAGGCCCATAGGAGGGTTTAACATCTGTAGCATGGATCATCACATGGAAGTCACACAATATTTACACAACGTTGGTAAAATATGTATATCACATTTGTGTAAGCAATTTAATTTTTAAACTACATTTTTATGAATTTTTTTTTTGCTCTATTAAGTAGAAACCTTGTAAAATTATTAATTAATTATAACAACATCAAAGTCCTAATCATGACATCAAACATAATTATCAAGTATTTTAAATATGTCAATTGCACCAGTAAAAATTATCGTAATATATTCTGAGTGGTGAATAAGGTTAGGTTTTACTGGTTTTAGACCGGGATTGAATATTTTTTTAGAAGCATTTTCAGTCTGGATTTAGGGCAATTTTAAAACTTTTAACTTAATTTTAATAAATAAATATACATAGATTTGAAATGTGTACAATTTTCATAAGAAAGGATATAAAGACAAATAATTGTTGAACCATTTAGTACATTTTAGTATATTCAAATTAGCAAGGAATATGCAAGATATGCATGGTAAAATACATTTTAAAGCAAATTCATTATTCGTTAATATCCAATATAGGTAGGTATCTAAAGAAATATAGAATTTATGAAAGTAAGCAGTTTAATAAATGCCTAATAAAAACATACTTCACAATTTAAACTGAGTGAACATTGTTCGTACAAGAGGTGCAATCGAATAATAAATTATATGTATATTTACTATTTACTATTTCGCTATGCTATTTATTACATTATTAAATGAGACTAATGTTTAAACAAATTACTTAAAAAAGTA